CCCCTCGCCCCAACATACTCCATCATCCAAATAACAATGGCTTCCTTGCTATTCCCCCATCTCTCAGCTCCAGACACTTTCCGCTGGCTGTATTTCCCATGGCTAGAATTCTCTCCTTCAGTCCTGTCTTCTGCAAGAAGCCTTTGCCAGTTCTCCTTAATCATAGCACCTTCCCTCTATATAGTTTATGCATTGTTGTTGTTTGGATGTTGGGCTGTGGGCTCCTTGAGAGCAGGGACTGATTTTTGCCTTGATGGCCCTCCGGCACTTAGTACAGTGCCTAGCATACAGTAAAACCTAATAAATGCTAATTGATTTGACTTGAGTAGACATATCAGCTGTAATCAGTGAAAGAATTGAGTTCTGATTCTGACTGCTTATATTGCTGCCCTCACCATCCAAAGAGCCCAAATTTCTCAAAGAAATATCTATTCTCCAGGTGTCTCAACCATTCTCCCCAAATCTCTGAATGGATAACAGCTCAATTACATCACAAGTATGAAAGGCTTGACATGATCTGATTGGTCAGGCAAGAGGTACCAAGACCAAAAGGAGAGGAGTCTAATTAGCAATGGAGAAGCCTGAAATTTAGGAGGAGCTAGAGTAAGGTAAGATATGGAAAAGGACAAAATAAGATGTTGGTTAAGGGGGAAATCATTGCATTAAATATCTCTGATAAGGTCTGCTATCCAAAGCTTATGAGGAATTTACCTAAATCTAAAAGACCAAGAACCTTTCCCTTAGAGACAAGTAGTTGAAGGATTTGAACATTCCTCAAAAAAATTGCAACCTATTAGCAATTGTAATACTCTAAATAATTATTCGATATGTAAATTCAAATAGCTCTTTTTTTCAACTCACACTCAGAAAATTGACAAGAAATAACAAGAAAAAAACCAGTCCAAATTAGAGGGAATGTGAGAACATAGGCACACAAATAGAGATATTAATCATGGCCAGAATGTGGGTTGATTCAACCATTCTGGAAAGCAGTTTGGAATTATGCAAAGAAAATGACTAAACTATTCACACCCTTTGACTTAGAGATCCAACTCTGGGACTGGGACGTAGACATAGACCTAAGGAAGTCAATAATGGAATAAGGTCTGATAAATAACAAAGTTTTCAGAGTAGTATTTTTTGAGGTAGCCAAAAACTGGAAACAAAGGGGATGACCATCAATTGGGTAATAACTAAACAATTTGTGGGGTATAAATGTAATAGAATTACATTGTAACTATGAATATTACAGATTCACCATGGAATATGATGAATATGAAGAGCTCAAAGAATCTTGGGAAGACATACTGAGGCAGAATGAAGAAGGCAGAAAAAAATTAATCATTAAATCTATGTTAAAAAAAATAAAATGAGGTTGAAAACTGCATCATTTGAACAGCCAGTCTTGGTCCTGGAGATGAGATAAGAAAAAAAGGTGCCTTTCTCCTTTTACTGGAGAAGTAAGGAGATATGGCTGTAGGATGTTGCATATACTATCAGATGTGATAGATATCTTAGTTGGTTTTGCTTACTTGTTTTTTTCTTTGTCAAAAGGGAAGCCTTCTATATGGTGATATAAAAACAAAAAGCATAAATAAAACTTTACAAAATAAAAGTATTTAGCACAGCCTGGTACATAGTAAGTCCTTAATACATGTTGATTCATTGACTGAATGATTAAAATGATAGATTTCTCCTACTAAATGTTTTTAAATTAGTGTTTACTATGTACAAGGTTCTGTTCAGTGATCTGAGAATAAGATACACTTAATTTCTAATGAATGAAAAGGGCCAAGTGCTGGCAGTCCTATAGTGACCCTCGGCCCCTACCCCAAGTCAAGTCCAGCTATCATCAGAGGTGCTTAAGGGATGCCATGCTTTCTATGTCTTTCAATGAGCTGTCTCTAGTCCCAACCCTCCTGTGGGTGACAGCCATCTTCACTGTTCTCCTTGGTCTGAAAGTATGATGCAGTAGAATTTATCCAATCAAACTCTGGCTCATGGTTCCCCATGTGGCTTGGTTTCTAATTACCGCAAGAATCTACCCTCCTCTGAAAGTGTCTTCCTAAAGCTTATCAGAGCCTTTCTCAAGTATGGGGCCAAGAACTCAATACCAACCTCTAGATGTAATCTGAGCAAGGCAGAGGACAAGGGGGCCTCACCTCCCACCAGATCCCTATATTTCTGTTTATGTAGCCGAAGTTTACATAGAACTCACTTCAGTTTGACCTTTCAGTTAGTTACAACTCCAAATTCTTTTTTCCCCTCATGAATTGCTTCCTAGCTGGATCTCCCCAATCTGGTAGTTCATACATTTGATTTTTTTAACCTCAGTGCAAATCTTTACATTCATCCTTACTAACTTATCTTGTTAGCTTCTGTCTATGATTCTAACCTGCCAAGACTTTTTGGAGGCTGATTCTGTACTGGGAAATGTTAGCTATCTTTTTCATCTTTTCATCATCCCCAGAAGGGCTTTTCCATCCCCTTCCTTTTCTCTTTGCCCTAATTCACCCCTTGACATCTCACAGACTTCTTTCCACACTCTGGGAAGAGATAACAGGCACCCGAGGGCATACCCCCTCTCCTCCAACCACACCCTTGCCACAGAATTCTTCCTCAGTCTAGATTCAGGTAGACTCAGAAAAGCTCTGGTTTCTAAGGACTCCACATCCCAGATACGGAACAAGTGCTCACTCAACCCTAGGACTCACTATAGCCTGGGAGGAATTGGAAACATTCAGTTTGAAACTCAAAATATTTAATTTGGAAATTTCATCCCTGACCCCAGCCTCACCGCAAGCCCTAAAAGAGTTTAGGAAAAAGAAAGTTGTGATCATCTCTCTCTGGCTGACATCATTGGGAGTGAGTCACTCCCTTGCTCATTCACACATCCCTGGCCCTACCGGCCCCTCTTATGCTGCTCACAAAGAGGAGCAGCTGTTCTCAACGTGTGCATAGCTTCTGACAGCTTCATATGCGTCAGAAATCAAATATCACTCCCAAAATTCAACTGAGTCCTTGTGGTACAGGTATAATTCTGGAGGCCAAAGGCTAATACCTCTATTTACACTTATAAACATGCCTTCTCTCAAAAAAAAGCCTATGTCTCTCTCCTTCTCCCTCTCTCAATGAAATGGACTTGATGTTCCTGAAGGTCCCTTCCATTAGTGTAGTCTATGATTCCACTTCCTAACTGCATGACTCTAGGCAAGTCACTTAGCCTCTCTTTGCCTCAGTTTCCTCAAATGTAAAATGAGAATAATAACAATACCCAAATAACAGCACCTACCTTCCAAGGCTGTTATGAGGATCAAATGAGATAATGTTTGTAAAGCACTTAGCTCAGTGTCTGGCACACAGTAAGTAGGTACTTAATAAATGCATATTTCCTTCCTTCCTTTCCTCCTCCTTCCCTTCTTTCTTTCCTTCCTTCCTTTCTTCCGCCCTCCCTCCCTTTCTTCCTTCCTTCCTTCCTCCCTTCCTTTCTTCCTTCCTCCTTTCCTTCCTTCCTCCCTTCCTTTCTTCCTCCCTTCCTTCCTCCCTTCCTTCCTTCCTTCCTTCCTCCCTTCCTTTCTTCCTCCCTTCCTTCCTCCCCTCCTTTCTTCCTCCCTTCCTTCCTTTCTTCCTTCCTTATTTCTTCCCTCCCTTCTTTTCTTCCTTCCTTCTTTCCAAGAGGATCCTTGCCAGCAGGGCTAACAGCAACCACTGGATTATAGAATATTACATCTAAAAAGAACTTTAGACTACATCTGGTATCATGCCAAAATTTTTCTGGAGAAACTGAGGCCCAGAGACTTGAAGTGACTTGCCCCAGGTCTCTACAAATAATAGGTGGCAGATGTTAAGACTAGAAAATGTAGAATCATAGGATGTCTGAGTTGAAAGTAACTTTTGCGAGAATCTAATTCAACCCGTTGATTTTACAAGTGAGGAAAGTGGCACAGAAAGGGAAAGAAGGTCCCAGAGTCATCCAACTAGTAAGTATCTGAACCAGGTTTTGAGCCCAGGTCCCCAGCCTCTTAACCTGGTGCTTTTCTATACCGTATATCCCATTACAAGACTACACACTTGACTTCAGGGAGGCATACACACCAAAGAGATGACTTCGTCCCCTCTCCTCCTCCCCCTTCTCAGGAGTAGAAGGAAATAAAAAACCACTCCAGTATTGTTTTCCAAGAAGATGCTATATTTAACCCTTTCTCTCCCCAACCCACTCTTTCTCCTATGAAACAGAGGCCTAGGAGGCCTCTCCTCTTTAAGGCAGATGGTATAGAAGTAATAGTACAGAAGTCAAACACAAGGCACTTAAACGTAAGCCCAGGTTCATGAACCAAGTCAAAACTAACCATAAATCGATGACCAAGAAACATCAATTTGTGGATAGTTTTGAGCTTGTGATAGGAGAGAGATGGCCTTGGATGCCATTATGCCCTGGGAATCAGGAGATGCCAACCCAGGGAGGTTGCCACAGAGACCGTACCATCCCTGGGATTATGCACTCTTCGGTCCAGGCCATAAAACTTTAGAGCTCAAAAGGACCTTAGAGATCATCTAGTCCTACCTCCTCATTTTGTAGATGATGAAACTGAGGCACAAAAAAGGTTGAATGACTTGCCCAAGGTCACATGAGAAGTAATAAAGCTTAGATTCAAAGTCCAGGTTTTCCAACTCCAGCATTCTTCTAACTCTACTAAGTTGTCATCTGTAGACTACAGAGTCCCATGACTTCATAGACTCATAAAACCTAAGAGCTGAAGGCCTGTCAGAAATCACTTCCCTCATTTTGCAGAAAGGAGATCAGAAGACCAGAGAAGGGAAATTAATCACCCAAGGTTACATAGAAAATTGATGATCAAGCCAGAATTAGAAACCAATTACATATACTCTCCAGTTCAGTGGTTTTTTTTTCCATACTGCCTCATCCTTCATCCATAGATCCCATTCACTCCACCCCCATATCTTCACTGTTTTCACCACCAACCACCTGCCAGTCTCACCTTTGCTATGATACGGCATAAAGGGGCACCTTCCTGGGTCAGGCTGAACAGGTTCCCTGTGGTAGACTCTGCAGTGTAAAGGTTATCTGAAGTATCAATCTTTCTCACCAGCACCTGAACACCAAGAACAGAGAACACATAATATGCCAATTACTCATTTCCTGAGGAAGTCAGGTAAACCCAGTTTAGAGGTCATCCCCTTTCTTCAACTCAAAAATATTGTCCTAGAAAAAGTGGAGGACCACAGGGCATTGACTGACTGGGACAGAATGAATGTCGGCATACAGGATACTCGAAGTTTCTGCTGTCAGTGGCCTTTAGGGGGATTTAATGCCAGGTATCGTAAAGAACAGAAAAGAAATTAGTTTTGATGAACTTTTTCTTTTTTCTTCTGATTCTTTGTTACAAAGGATGACTCCATGGGGAGAGAAAAAGAAGGATATATTTGGAAATGAAGGTGAAATAAACATAAAATATCAACAAATCTTCATGTTACAAGTAAAAAAGAAGAAAATTTCCAGGGAATCAGCAAAGAAACTAATTGAGATGATAAATAGCTATAATAAAGTAGAAAGATGCAAAATAATTCTATAAAAATCATCACTGTTTATATAGCAATAACAAAAAACCTAGAAGAAAATGATAGGAAAAAATATCATTTAAAATAACTACAAAATAAATTATATATACGAGAGTCAACCTATCTAGACAGACTCATGATACATAAATAGAAATATAAAACACTGTATAATAGTAAAAGAAAACAAACAATTAGAAGGGTATCTATTGCTCATGGTTAGGTCATGCCAATATAATAAAAAGTATGATAATACCTAAATTCACTCACAGATTTAGTGTCATACCAAATAACTAAGGAGTTATTTTATAGAACTAGACAAAATAATAAGAAAACATAGAAATCTTTTGGTAGAAATAATGAAAAAAAACTAGAATGGATGAGCATACTCAAACTGTATCTAGAGTTCACACTATACTACAAAGTAATATTTTTAAATAAATAAATCAGTGGAATAGACTAGAGAAGCAAGAATCATAAACAATTGTGGTTGACAAACCCACAGAAACATTTGCCCTTCCTGAGTCAGTCCCATTGGGAACAATGTGTCATTGCACCAGCATGAGGGGGTATAGATATATCTGAACAAACCATCAAGTGACTCCCTAAGTTTGAGCTGCACCTGTTGACTCAAGGGAATGTGCAAACACACTTGGCTCTCCACCCAACCTCTATCAGCTGAGCCAGGTTCAAACCCCACTCAGACTTCCTCAGCTCTGTGCTTTAAGACTAGAAGTCTACCGCCCTTCCAGAAATAAATCATATCTCTCCCAGCCCATGCCCTCAACCTCTTTTTTCAATCATCATCACCCCAAAGCAATCACTCAGCTGACATTTAGACTAAACTATACAAGGTATCAGACAAGTCTTAGGGCAGTTTTAAGCTTTAATAGGTTAAGCTTAGTCTTTGATAGCTTTAAGATGCACAAAGACTTTTGGGAAGTCCTGTATCTGTTACTTTGGAAATGAAAGTAAAATATAAAAGCCTAAATATCAGAGTGGCAGGAGTAATGCCAATAGCTTCTGGTCAAGGAAGAATTTTCATCTCCCACAGCCTCTTCGAACTAGCAGAGAAGGGAGGAAAGGGCATACCTGAAAGTCCATTGCTGAGGGACACTATCTCATTCTCAAAGCCACAGGAGGAAGGGGAAATTGTTTCCATGATCATTCCTCCCATAGGAACTGCACTCATCTCCTATCCAGATGCCAGTTTCACTATCCCTCTCCCTAAACTTCAGGAGCCTGATGCTGTGAAAGCTACACCAAGAGTATATGCAACTGAGGGAAGACTTCCTATTCAATAAGAAGTGCTGGGAAAAGTGGAAATCAGTGTGGCAGGAAATAGGTTTCAACCAGCATCCAATACCATATATATAATAATCAGCATGAGACCTAAATTATAAAAGGCAACATGATAAACAAGTTAAAGAGGAATGGAAAGAAATACCTTTATGGATAGGGGAGATTTCTTAACCAAAGGATAAGAGGTGACCATAAAAGTCAGTATATGCCCAATAATGGGATCACTGGGTCAAAGGACATGGACAATCCAGTCACTTTGCTTGCGTAATTCCAAATGGCATAATTCCAGAAAGGTCAGACCACTGAGAGCTCCATCCATAGTGCCTTAGCCTGTCTTCCCACAGACCTCCCAGCATTGAGTATTTGAATTTTTGTACCTTCTTTGTCAACTTGTCTGTCTTGAAGTGGAAGTTAAGAGTTCTTTCAAGTTGCATTTCTATTACTAGTAATTATTTGAAGCATGTTTTCAAATGGTTATTTATAGTTCTATTTATTTATACTTTCAAATGGTTATTCTTTCAAAAGCTATTCGGTTATATCCTTTGATCCCTTATCTACTGGAAAATGGGTCCCCATTATATGTCTTTCAAATCCCTCTGTATGTTGAGTATCTGACTGTTACCAGTGATATTTGATACAATTTTCTCCTGCTGTACTATTTTCCCTTCTAATTCTACCAGTTGGAAAGAGCCTCAATTCTGGAGCCAAAGGATTCAAGTCCCCCTCTGATATTACCTATGTGACCTTGTTCAAGTCATTCAGCCTTCTGGGGCCTTTGTTTTGTTATCTATAAAACGAAAGGATTGAACTAGATGGACTCTGAGGTCCCTTTCCAGCTGTTGATTTTATTCATTCAATAGCTTGTTAATTTATAGAGTCAAAACTGTCTGTTTTACCTTGTGATATCCTTTTCCTAAAGGAAAAGGCCAGTCCTGCCTTGCAAAACTTCGACCCTCGGTGACTCCCACCATTTGACTTCTTGGTTCCTGATTGAATGCTATTGAGCAATGACTAGGCACATTTACAAATGACCCGAACCCGTCTCCCATCACCAGACTTGGGCTAGAAGCAGCTTCTATTCCACGGGCAGAGACTCTGGGAAGTAGAGATCACCTCTACACAACTCCGAACTAAGGCTGCAACAGAGGGCTTCAGTAGGAGATCCCATGCTAGTACAGACCATGCAGCAATTTTAAACTTGGCAATTCAAAGTGAAAAGCAGAAGCAGAAGAAGCAGAAGAAGGAGAAGGAGAAGGAGAAGGAGAAGGAGAAGGAGAAGATGGAGAGAGAGAGAGAGAGAGAGAGAGAGAGAGAGAGAGAGAGAGAGAGATCTGTGGCTCTGGATTCTGCAAAAAGCAGAATTAATAAAGTGGGTCTGTCATTACAAATCTTTGTAAGGTATTCAATTCTTCGAATCCATTTTCATTATTACCGTAAGCAACCATACATGCCATATTAACCCTTTTGCATTAAAATGCAGATTTTGTCTATAATTGTCCTGAGCACAAATGAGAATTACGTGGTGTTCTTGATCTCTGTTTGCACCTATTTCAAATTACCATCGCATTAAACAATCCAGCGTCAGTGTCTTTTGCAATCATCCACTCACATTAAGACATTTATGGGAAAGATAATGATTTCATGGTAATGTCTTTCCATACAGACCATAATTACACACTAGAGAGGGATGAATGATTATAATTACTAGTAAGGAACTTATGTATTGAAGGTCCTTTTCTCAAACATACACTTGGGAAGGCTCAGACAGTTTGATTTTCCCATTTCCTCAGCCCTAGTAGTAAAATTATTGAAGTGATTGAATCCTTTTGCTAGAAAAAACTTCTACAAGTCAGCTGGTCCATTCTCTAGTCTTTGGGCAAGAGGGCATATGAACTAGCCCAGGAAACAAAACTCCACGTCTCTTGGCAATCTCTTTCCAAGAGGAAGGACCTTCCAGTCAAGTTCTTCTTCAACACTAGCTTAAATCTCTTTTAATGTGGTATTTAGAGTATTTTAAAGGTAGAATATTAAAGTCTCAAATGTACAAGTAAAATAAAATTAAAAGGCTTTACTCCTACAGCTGAAAGACATAGGCTACCAACTTAAGCCAATAGCTAGGTACCGAAGACAAACTTGAACAATTACCTGCCAATAGACTGGAATATATTAGAGTATTTCACCACATTCCAGATACACATTTCTCCCAATCTAATAATTTTGGAGTTGTTTGAATCTATGCAGTTTGTCATACCTTTGTCTCATCCTGGAATTCCTGAAGCTTTATTACCAATTCATCATGATTTAACACCCCAAATGTATCTTTGGTTTGTTGAAACTTTGAGTGTGATTTCAGGTTGGATTTAACAGATTTCAGAGGGTCTGTGAACTTGGGAAATTTGAAAAATCTTTATTTTCACTAACTGAAATGTAGCACTTCCTTCAATTATTTAATGACAGGATTATGAGGAGGGGTCCACAGGCATCACCAGATTGCCAAGGGGGTCTAGCACACCAAAAAAAAGATTATCTGTGTTAAACAGATAGTCCATTCTTGAGCTGCAAATATAATGCAAGGCATATAGCTACATGTAACTACCTAGAATTCTCTAGAAACTTTATGCAAAGGTACTCTAAACCCTCAGAATTTCCTTGTTACTAGGGTCCTTAGGTGGTAGAGGAGAATCCATTTCAGTCAACCTGGGTAGATTCACCCTTCCTTATGCAACCAGCTGAATACCCTTCCACCTCCCATATTTGAGGGCTCATCATATTGGCGCCAGACTGGGTGAAGACACCCAATAGGCTTTTATCCTACTGTAGCTCAGAAGACTTCAGTGATCACCAACCCCAGTTTCCCCCAGTAGCAGGGACAGGCTGTGCCACCAAGCCCAGTTCCCTTTCACTTATTAACCCCAAGTTTTCCAAACTGTGGTGCATAGGGTTGGGAGTTGGGGGAAGTGGGAAATAAAGACAAGGCAATGGGCAAAAATCACTGGATATTTTAAAGAATAACTTTCACTTAAATGCATCATCCACTTTTTCAACTAAAACAATGTTCAAATCAAAATCAACAAAAGCAGTACTTGGGAGAGAATCCATTCCAACTGACAGTGAATGAAGCAGAGCAATTATTGAATACAGTGTATGCAAATAACCTCTGGTTTGAGTTGGCAGGTGGTGACTCTCAATACAGATGTGATCTATCACTTATATTATAAGTATGAAATTTTTAAAGGCTTTTTATCAATAAATTGATATCTGTGTGTTACATTATTTTGCTATATTTTTAAGGTTTATCTGTGCAAGTCAGAATAGACTCGAGACACAGATAAGATATATCAACAAGTTGCTTGCTGCCTCTGGGATTTGTATGAAGTCAAACTTAATCTTTATATGGAAGTGAAAAGGACCACAATATTTGTTATATTTCTCAACCATATTCCTTTTAGTAAATATAATAGAATAAGCTGATTTTCCCAAAATTGCAACTTTTTAAAAAATCGAAATGACTCACAAAAAGTTACATATAATCTTTTGAAATATGCAACCATTAAATACCAATTGCCTTAAATTTTGTCTCTTCATAAAGTGAAATAACACTCCTTTGTGATGAGTAAGAGAAAATTTGAAGAGAAAAATCCACTAGAGTAGCCAAAATTAAAATAATAGAGACAGTTTAAGTAATGGAAATACAGAAACACAAAATCAAAAGCCCAAATCTTGGAATTAACAAATGCTGCTATTGGTGGAAAGGAAAGATCATTTTATTTTCCTTTTGTTTTTAGAGGTAGTTAAGAGGGACAGTAGGTAGAATGCTGTTCTGGGAGACTGAGGAAGACATGAGTTAAAATCTGGCCCCAGATATTTACAGCTGTGTGACCCTGGACCAATCACTTAACCTCAAACTTCTCAGTTTCCTCAAATGTAAAATGGGGATAACAATGTCACCCGCTTTGCAAGATTGTTGTGAGAATCAAATGGTGTCATATTTGTAAAAACAAAACAAAACAGTATAAATGGAGTTTCTTCTCCTTTCTCTTCTTTTTGAGTTTTATTGGTACTATATAGAAATGCTGATGATTTCTGTGGATTTATTTTATATACTGCAAGTTTGCTGAAGTCATTGTTTCACTTAATTTCTTAGTCAACTCTTTAAGGTTCTTTAAGTACCCTTCGAATCATCTGCTAAAGTGGTCATTTCATCTCTTCTTCTCTTAATGCTTATTCCTCCAATTTCTTTTTCTTATCTTATTGCTATAGTCAGCTATTGTAGAACTATGTCAGATAGAAGAGGTGACAAGGAATATCCTTGTTTTATCGCTGATTTTATTGGAAAGGATTCTAGTTTATCTCCATTATATTTAATGGTAGCTCTTGGTTTTAGATACACATGGCAAAAAAAATATGCAGAGTCAAACAAAACAAATTATTTCATTTGCTGTATATAACATAAATGTGTATATGCATATATGTATGTGTGTATATGTAGATGTACATTATGTTAGTATATATAAGCATGTTATTCATACTTGATTCATAAAAATAAAATAACTGTATTTATGAAAAAGGTAGAACTATAGATAATAAATTTACAAAAATGCTATTTTGTTTCCTAATTTCAAAAATACCTGCCCTACAAATGAAATAGTAGAAAGTAAAGATCTGCTTGTTAAGCATAACCTGTCTTACAAAAATAATTTTCCTATTATTTTAAAGAACTAAATCTTTCTAAATACAAATGGCTAAGGCATCCATTTGCCATGAACTGATGTAATGCATTTGATCTTCAAGAACAATTATTTTTTCTTATGATAATAGATCAAATAAATCTTTAAACATGAAAAAAATTTATTACTTTTTGGCTATCAGTGAATGAAATGTTCTCTGGTTCTAAGCTAAATGATACAAATTATACTACCATTCCTAATATTATATTTATGTGGAATGGGATTTTTTCATATAGCTACTATAGAGATAAAATAACAGTTTCCATTAGTGATTTAAAAATAATTGAATAACAATATCATCAGTGACTCAATATTTTGAGAAATTTTGTGTAGAAAATAGTCCCCTAATTATTGTTATTACTAATAATGTTATGGATCTTTTAATATTGTGGTTATATTGTGGTATGAAAATTTTAAAGGATCTTTGTGCAAATAACATTATTTTATTATGTGTTTAAAATTTGTTGGGAAATTATTTAAAATTATTAACATTATTTGAATAAAAACAAGCTGAGAAAAGTATTTTCATAAATTTACGAAAAAAGTGAGGGGCATGATCATTTCTTTGCCAAAAGAAATTATGTAAATGTATTCACTGTGTAAAATTTGCCCAAAAAAATCCCAAAAACTATAAACTATCTTAACCCACTTCATTGAGGTTTATGATCTTATAAATCATCTAAATCTTTTTCTCTCCAAAGATGGTAATGATATCTCAGTGGTTAAAGCAGACAGCTTTTTCCTTCTTCATTTCTCTGCAGCATTTGACACTATTAACCATCTCTTTTTCATGACATTGGTTCTCCTACCTGTATTTTCTCTCTCTCTCTCTTTCTCTCCTCTCTCTCTTTCTCTCTTCTCTCTTCTCTCTTCCCTCTTCCCTCTTCTCTCTTCCCTTTTCTCTCTTCTCTCTATCTCTGTCTCTCTCCTTGCCCCCCTCTCCAATTTCATCATCTCTCATGGTGTCAATATCATCTCTATGTAGATGGCTCCCAAGTCTATATATCCAGTCCTAGTCTCTCTCTTGAGTTCCTGTCCTACACTACCTCTTGGACATTTCCAAATGGCTGTCTTATAAGTATCTTAAAATCAGCATGTCCAAAACATTATCTTCCCCCATTATCTTCCCAACCCAACCCACTTCTCCTCAAAACTCCCAATTTCTATTAAAGACACAGGAAAATAATGATTAGGACTTTTAGTCTTTTTTAATCTTGGTTAAAGTTCTGTCTTGTCCATTCAGTATGACTTCCTGCTCTTATAGCCTAGTACCCTCTCTACTTTCTTCTGGATCATGGAATTTAGAGTAACAAAAGAATTCAAAAATCGCTTAGTCTATACCCCTCATTTTACAGTGGAGGAAATTGAGGCTCCTAGAGGGGAAGGGACTTGCCCAAGGTCACACAAGTAATAAGTACCAGTGTAGATATTCCAGCCTAGGTCCTCCGACTTCAAATACATTATCCTTTCCACTATAGCATGCTTTGTCTAGGCCAATCTTATCTCTTCTGCTCAATTATATCCTTGTAATTTGTGCACAGAATTTGATACATCAAGCATTTATTTATCTATATAACAGGCTAGGTGCTAAATGAAAGCAGCCCCTTTTCTCAAGAAGGTTACATGCTACCAAGGAAAAACAGTGCATGTACACAGAGAAGTAAATATTAACTGCATATAAAGTAGATGCAAAGTAATTGGAGTAAAACTGCTATTACTGGGAAGACTATAAAGGCTTCATGTAGGAGGTAACCTTAAACTGAATCTTGAATAGAACCAAGAATTAATTACAAGAGGTGGAAGTGAGGAGACAGAATTCCAGAAAAAACAGCCATCCCAACGAAAGGCTTGGAGACTGGAAATGGAATATCATGCCTAGGAAATGCCACGTAGGTCAGTTTGGCTGGAATGAGAGATACATGAAAAAGGCTGATGGGAAATCAGGCTAGAGACAGAAAAGCAAAAGACCAGGAGATGTTTTTCTTACCCTTCTTTCACTAATCCTATTTACTTTTCTGTAAAATAAAAGGGTTGGAACAAATGGTTTCTTTTTTTAAGGTAATTGGGGCTAAGTGACTTGCCCAGGGTCACACAGCTAGTAAGTGTCAAGTGTTTGGTCTGAGGCTGGATTTGAACTCAGGTCCTCCTGACTTCAGGGCTGGTGCTCTATCCACTGCGCCACCTAGCCACCCCCAGAATGTAAGCTTCTTGAGGACAATCCCATGGAACATGGTGGGAGCTGAGCCTGATCCCTGACCACTTTCCCAAGAGTCTTGTGCTTTGAGCATGCACAACCCAAGACTCCTGGTTGCTCCTTTAGTTCCACTAATGGGGGGTGAGATGCCAAAGAGGATTGCCCCATTCAGTAGAATTTAAGATGGGGGACTTCTCGTCATGTTTCTTTCTCTTCCTTCCTATCTTTCTGTCTCTTTCCTCTCTTTTTTCCCTTTTTTTCTTTCCTCTTCTCTTTTCTCTTCTTTCTTCTTTCTTCTGTCTCTCCTCTCTTCAGTCTCTTCCTTCCTTCTCTCCTTTCCTCCTCTCTTCTCCTTTCTCACTCTCTTTCCTCTTTTATGTCCCCCTCTTTTCCATTTTCCTCTCCTCTCCTTCTCTCTTCTCTATTTCCTTTCTTTTCTCTTCTCCTCTTTTCTCTGCCAAGTGCAAGCAGTCACCACAGCTGCCATAGATGTTCCATTAGTGGAATCATGTTATTATGGTTGTTGTCTATGTTTTCTTTCTCCTACCAGACTGGAAGCTCCTTTATATCATCTCTCTCCACTTCATCTTTGTCTCTTTCTTCACCTCCAGTGTCTAGTAGAAGTCCTTGCAGTTCAAAGCAATTCAGCAAACATTTATTTATTTGTTAATGAATGAACATTTATTTAGTGCCTACTATGTACCACCCATAATACCAGAAGCTAGGGCTACAAAGCATAGCAAGGATCAGATTGGAATCTACTCCATGGAACATATGTGGTGATGGTCCTAAAGGGGCAGCCTCTCCCTCTGAATTTTATTTCAGTGGGGAGGAATCCTGTCTGGGGAAACAAGATATGTCTGCCAGCCCAACTCATCCCTCCCCCTCTCCCAGTCTCCAGGACCCAGTGAATATCTGTACTGACCTGTACCTCCTGTGTCAGAGCTAATTCCAGTAGCTGGCTAAAGTACCGGCCCACGGCACTCAGGGTTTCATTCACACAGGGCTTCATGGACTTCAGGACCTGCTCATCATCAATGTGGAGACATCTGGAAAATCAAATGGGCCAAGAGCTGGTCAAAAGAAACAGGTCCCTCCCTGGCAGGGGTCTCCTGAGGGGCCTTAGAAAGTAGCCAGGAGACTGACAGATATGATGATTTCACTGAATGATCATTTAGAGAATGGAATTTAGAGATGTGTGTTAGCTACTAAACTGTGGAAAGGTCCAGAGCAAATGAGGGTGGTGAAACCTACCTTTCAGTGACAGCTGTAAGCTCAGAGCACTTCTCCATTAACAGCTTCTGAAACTGCAGGACAAAAAAAAAAGAAAATAAAGAAAAGGAAAAAGGAAGGGAACATATGCAATTTTTTAATGCTGCTGGACTTTTAACTTTATGAATGATGTTCAAAGTTCTTCAGAAAGAGAAGACTTAGCTGACAGATTTCCACCTTTCTATTCCCAGAAGTTATGCTTCATTTGCTGAAGATCCTGGTAAGGGGTCATGATAAAGGGAATAGGTATGATGCCAACCATGAAGCCCTGCAGGTTGGGAAGTTAAGTTGATAAGAGCTGCCTTATGCTGCCCTTCCCACCAGGAAATGGACAGTAGATGTGACGACAGCAGTAAACTTAGAGGTCAAGACATAAGCTCATTGTTTTGTTTTTGTGAAAAAAAAAATGCTGGAATCAGTCAGTGGACCTGAGTTTGAATCTCAACTTTGAAAACCTCATTCTCTGAAAAATTTCTTCCTCTGTAAAATGAGGTTGGACTAGGTGATCTCCGAGGGATCCTTCCTGCTCTAAATCTAGAACCCTATGATTTATCAGTAGGTTCACATCTGTTGGTTGGGAACCTTTGGTGGAAAGAAAATAATAACTACATTGAGAGCAGAGCCTAATGTCTTCCAATGTACTCGGAAGCCCCAAAGAAGGGTAGTCTTATCCAAGATCACAATCATATATCCAAGATTTGAATTAATATCTTGTAACTCCAAGTCCAGGATTCTTTCCACTAGCAATGTGACTAGTAATAGATTCACAAACTGTTACTAGAAATCAAATAAATCAACCCCCTTTTTTACGAATGATGAAACTGATGATCAGAGTGTTAAATGAGTTGCCCAAATTCACTCACTGAGTTAGTGGCAAAGTGGCGATTTTACTCCAGGCTCCCAACACCCAGTTCGGCATTCTTTACATTACATCATGACCGTTTCCTGCACTCATCAGACAATTTTCTTTTAAATACAGAAAACACATTCACAGGGAAGTATGCCTATCCCCACTCAGCCCTGCTGCAGCACCCCACAAATCTTTGTTTGGAGTCTAGTCCTTTCATATATGACCAGTTTGGTTGCTAAAAGGGGCAAAGTGAACTGTTATACAAAGAAAAAAATATGAAATTAACTTGTGAAGGATTTAAAACTCTTCCCCTTTTCATACGTGAAAATTTTTTATTGTGAAAAAAGCCTGAAACAAAACTTTTATTTATAAAGACTTGTTAATATCCAAGTGTCAATAAAATTTTGAGATAAAATGTGACAGGTTATGTTATAAGATCAAGTAGAGAACCTGGAAGAACTGACTGAGAACAGAAAAATAGCTGAGGGTGCAGGGCATTGTGGTCTCTCAGCTCGTTTGCATGTAACTGTTTTTAGAGTTTGAGAGGTTTAAACTCACAATGTGATAAATGAAATAACTCTTCAGGGACCATAGAGTAACTAAATTAGAATTCTCGGTTTCATGAATTTTACCTCATGAAGTAAATAGAAGAGGAAAGACAATCTTTGCAGCTGCTTTAAGAAATTTAAAGCAAGACAATACAGCATCCTCTAGCGAGGAGCTGGTTGGGTTCATCTGCATTGCCTAGACAGCCAATCTAAGGAGCTCTGCAGTTCTCTAGTGCAAAGGTAATCTTTGTCATTATGATAGTGCACCCTTTTAAGGATGATTGTGAATTAAAACAGCTTGTCAATACTTTGTCAATCAGAAGAGCAGATTTGCCCAGAAGGAAAGAAGAGAGAGCCAGAAGGGGAGCAGTTAGTAGAGAAGCAGTTTAATGTGGTATGGATTCTTTCTGAAGGGATCAGTTGAAGACCTGCAGTCCAGAGTTGGAAACTACCCCAAACACATGCATAGTCCTCCCTCATATGATCCTGTTAGGTTTCTGTAACTTTGTTCCCATTCTCCCCCCTGTCTACTATGTGCATTAATAGGAGGGTGGAACTGAAGTCTATGGGTTAACTGTGATGTATTGATTATAGCAGCTAGATGACACAATGGATATACCATTGGGCTTAGAATCAGGAAGGCTGTCTTCCTAAGTTCAGATCCAGTCTCAGACACTAGCTGTGTGACCCTGGGTGGGTCACTTAACCCTGTTTGTCTCATAAAATGAGATGGAAAAGGAAATGGCAAACCACTCCAGTATCTTTGCCAGGAAAACTTCAAATAGGGTCACAAATGAACAAAAAAAAATTGATTACTCCTTCATTACCTTATATTAAATAGCTTTAATGTATTATTTATTGTTGCTTTTGTCCTATCATTAAGTAATTACTTTATGTTTGAGAGTTAATGATGCCATCATTGTAAACGGCTGATTTTGTATAATTTGGAAGCATACTTGGTAGCTCTTGAGCTACAGTGGCAGGTTGGAAGAGTATATATGTATGGATGTTTGTATGTATACACATACATACATACATACATACATATGTGTGTATCCTCTGTTCAATAGGGTTGTCCTTAACACCCTGAGAGAGTTTGAGGTGTAGCCCATTGTGGTAATCCTGAGAACCCAGACCTCTCAATGTGAGCCAGCCCAGAGGGAGTGTATGCAGTGTCCTGTCTAGAGATGGTGACCTACATTGTTGGCATGCACACAGGTCACCTCATGAATCTGTTACATTGGTAATTTAAACCATTCCTGTCCCCCAACCCCAAAGCATCTGCATTCCCAGTTCCTCTGCCTATCCTTAATACCTAAGCCACTGACCTGCTCCATCTCCTCAGAGGTACCTCTGCTGAAGATGCTGTACTCATTGATCATGGAGCGTGCGTGACAGGTCAGCCGGACACTCAGACTGTGCACCCGCCCCCATCGTTCCCGGTCCAACTTCTGCCCAATCCTTCCCAACTCAGTGCTAATGATCCAGGCTCGCTTCAACAGCAGCTGCAGGTGGTCACAGGGGCCATGCTGTGAAGATGGGATCAGCTCACTCTGGGTATCATCTTCTAGGCTAATGGGCTTCGACTGGAGGATGCACATGCACTCACAATCGGTCATCAACTTTAGGTCCTCCATCCATCTCTGAACAGAGTCCACCTGGATCAGGGGCAACCTGAAAGGGGGCAACATCAAGATAGTCATTAGGGACAGCATGGAGTCAATCAGTCTTAGAAACAGTGGGACAACCTCAAAGCAGTCATTAAAAGTACCCCCAACGTCCAAACTAAGCTTTTCAAGTTATGAGGCCATAACCAGCATATGTAAGAAACAAATTTCCTCCAGGAGATGGTAACTTGAAGTGGACTTGAAGAATGGGAAAGATTCAGAGAGAACAGGGAAAGTCATCGTAGGGGGGTGGCATAAGTAGAGTGTGTCATGGGTGACCCAGGTGGGAAGGGGTTCTAGCTTCCTCACCTTCCCTTTTCCTCTAAGGCTCTCACCCTCTACCTATCCTAACTCCCAAGTTACTCTAATCAGTGCCAACACCATATTCAGTTGCCTGGAACATGGGGATCTCCTCTCCCTCAATTATAATAATCTTTGACCATTTTTTCTAAATGGTTTTTACAATTTCAAAAGGCTTTCTCTCTTTATCATATTGGACCTTCACATCAACCTTAGGAGGGGGACAGGGCAAGGTGATATTATTGCCATTTTCCATAGAAAGAAACCAAGGTCCTCAGAAGCCAGAACTTATTTGCTCAAAGTAATAAAAATAGCGACAAGACCAGGAATCAAACTTGGTTTCTTGTCTCTTAGTTAAGGATCCTGAACTAGTTGCCACTGGTGGCTTCTGTCTCCCTATTGGCTGTGTAAAAAAGTGAAAACAAATGATAAAGGGTCATGTAGGCTAAAAAGGAAATTAAGAGAGAGAGAGAGAGAG